TATAAAATGCAGGTATTTATTTCAAGCAAAAAAAAAAAAAAAAAAAAAAGCTAATAAAGCTGCCAACGCAGTGATTTGGAGACTGGACAAAAGTGTTCCATGCTCTTTGAAACAAATGTACTTTGAAATAATACCTTTTTTCTTGGTATTCTGTAATTACTTTAATTAGCATCTCAGTATCTGGGTGCTAGGATTTAAACTGAGCAAATGAAGAATGAAATTTTTCTTTAGTATAATCACTTAGCTAGCTTCCCCGTCTCCTTTTTGCGCTCTCACTGCACCTATGAATAATGATTCTTGCATTGTTTTGTAATATAAATTTTTTGTATGAGTTGTCTGCTACGTATCAGAAAAGCAGCATTTCCTAACATCAAAGGCTATTAGCATTTTAAAGGAGAAATATGTGACACCACCAGGGCCGTAGGAATTTGGGATGATCTGACAAGCAATATGCTGCTTTGTCTGTGGTATGTCTGGTCTTGGTGTTGCTTAATGAGTGCCCTCGTAAATATCTGACTAAATCTTGCTTCTCGAGTGTAAGTCTGTAACAACAATAATAATAAAGTAGCATGAAGGATAAAGTTTATAGTGGTTAACACTGAGACCATGAAATAATGTTTTGGTAGAAGAGCAAAGTGCTTCTGTCTTTGTAGGGTATCGTGAAGCATTACTAGCAGTTATGTCAGAATGCAGCTACAAAGGCACCCCTGTGAGTGACAACTTCAGGGAATGTAAGAAAATAAAGAGGGCCTTCCAAATGGAAGTTCCATAGCTGACTTTTGAGGCTGTGTAGGAGTAATGTGAAACAAGAGAAAGAAAGTGACTAACATGGGTGCATATAAGGAAAAGACAGACTGCTCAGGCTGGAGGAGAAAAATGAGGAGAAAAATTACAAAGAGAGAAGAATGAGGGAGAACAGAAAAATGAAAAGTGGTTTTAGAGTGAAGTAGCAGTTGAGTTGAAATTTGACTATTTCTGTTTGAAAAAGAGTAAAAATGCTGTGAGAGTTGATGCTTCTCAATCTGTATAAATATTGAGATAATTGAATGCTTGAATTGGCTGTGTAAATTAAACCAATTAGTTGTAAATTATAGCTAGAGATGGTCAGCAGGAAAATGGACGAGTTGAAGAAAAGCAGCTGTTTCAAAAGTGATTTTGTAAGGGGATATTTAATTTTTTTAATGGAATAAGTTGTCAAAGAAATAGGGTAAAAAGATCTAGCTGTGCTCTTGCAATCAAGTAACTGAGGACTGATTTCAGCTGTCTAACTGTGTTATGCTTTGTTTTATGCTGTTTCAGAATAATGTATGAATCATCTCAGAAAATTTTGGATGAACTCCTGAATCCTTGACCATGTGGAAGCTTTTGTCATAAAATCTGAAAGGAGATATATTGTTTAAAGGAAAATATCATATTGTAAATTTATTAATAGCTAAGATTTATTTTCTGCTATTTTGTACAGTTAAAGCAGGCAAAAAGTATTTAAGTGTATATAGAAAACATGTAGTATTAAACATTGCCAAAGACCTTTAAGAAGGTGGTTTTGTATAAAATTATGGGGGAGGGTAAAAATCACAATTATCATTTGTCTGATAAAAACAAGATAGTATCTCATACTTCGGGACTGAGACAGCACACAACCTCAGACCCTGGGAAATTCTCAGAGAATATTCATGTCAAAGCACATGAAGTACAACAAGGTGTTTGGATATTGCCAGCATGAATGCACAAAAAGCAAATTCTTCTTGGCCAATCACGTTTCCTTCCTTTTTGTGGATGAAATAAGAGCAGAAGATGTCAACTTTCCTGTCCTTAGAAAGACTGTTAACAGAGACTTAGACTGTTAACAGAGACTTACAATATATATTTGTGGCCAAGTTGGAGAGAGATGGACTGTGCTGGATGAGCTACATGTAGAGTGGAGGACTGCCTGGCCACTCAGGGTTTAACAATAATGGTGCTGTGAAGTCCTACTGATGGCATTCCTCAAGGAATTGTTCCCAATGCTGTTCAATGTTTTCATTAAAAGTCTTTAGCAGGGAATGAAATGCAAATTGCCAGGTGCCAGCACCTTGGGAGCAGTGGTTGAAACAGTTGAGGGGTAATGTTGTCCAGCTCAGTAGCAGCCTGACCTAATCTAATGGATCTGATCTAATCTGATCTAATGGACATAGAAAACAGCAAATCTTGTAGAGTTCAGCCCTGACACACACAAAGTCCTCTACTGCAATAGACAAATCCCATACCACAGCAGAAGAGCTGTCTTCACCTACGTGATGAGGATTATGAAAAGACTTTTCTCAAAAGTACAAATCAAGAAGACACAAGGCAGCGGACAGAAGCTGCAGCAAGAGAAACTGGACACGTGAAAGTATTTTCCTGATCAAAGTGAAACAGAATGGAACAGGGGCACCAGAAAGACAGTGCAAGATCCGCCCTTAGAGATGACAAGAACTCGATTGGCCAACGTGATGTAATTTTGAAGTTACTCCTGCCTGAGCTGGGGATTGGACTGAATTATCTCATGAGCTTCCTCTCAAGTTAAATAAGTTTAATTGCTTTGTATTTGGCTCTTTTTACAAATTAATGCCACAGGCAATGCAGACATGTAAGCCACTTGCTTAGCTTTTCGATGTGAACAGATGCTCCCTCGAAACTAGTAATACAGTGTTGATTGCAGAAAGTTATTTTGCCTAAACCGAGGCATATATAAATCAGATGTCTAAGTTCACAATGCAATGTTTTTGGCTGTTTTAGAAGTAAGCCTACTAGGCAGCCCTGGAAACTGATTCAAGCAGGGACTGAAAAGATGGCAGTGACTGTCTTAGACTTGGATATCTAATTGTTGTCTACAAAGGGGGGACAGGATGCTTCCCATTTAGTGCCTGTACAAATGGCTCATTGACATCCCTGGTGCTACTGAGTCGCACTGACACTGAAATTAGCAAATTTACCTAAATGAAGTCAGACTTAATTCTTGATTAGGATCTGAGCACAGTGCTCTTCCCCCATCTCTCTAACCAGACGTCTTTGTAGTGCATCAATCTTCTATGTAGAAGCTGATTTAACTGGAATGTTGATACTTAAAAATAATCACATCCTTAATAAACTGTCAGACTCTGCAACGGGAAAGTCAGCTTATGGAGAAGTGAATTCCAGATTTACTTTCTCCACAACACTGGCCTGAGCCAGAAAGACATGCTGCCACAGCAGGTAGCTGTAGGTCCGCCAACTGTTTATCTATCAACATCTTCATAAAAACTGGGTCTCCTTCGGCCTTCATTCTTCTACATCTGCTAACATGCAGGTGTTCCTGTAATGACCTTTTAAATCTTCTCATTATACAAATTAGTTAATGAATATGTAAATCACCATGGATTTTTCTTTTGCTTTTCAGTCTTTCACTATTTGCTCATATTAGAAGAGTTACTATCTTTTTATTCTCTTCAGTCTGTAACGCTGCTTTTTGAGTTGTATCTTTTTCTTCCTCATGGACTACTTGTTACAGACTCAGTATTCCAGATCCTGAAATACAGATAACTGCCAACAGCAGAAATTATTCTAAAGAACTTGGAGGTGATATTGCCAGGAAGGGTAAGAAAGCTTAAAGATGAACCTTTGTCTTCTTGGTGGCTGATGCTCCAAGGGGATGAAATAGTTCTGTGGTAGCAGTGCTGCTGGTCTATAGACCTTGGGATCCAATCCAGCTCTGTTATAGCTCCTCTCATAGGTGAAAAACCATTGGCTTTCTGCAACACAAGCACTGATCTCTGAATTCCTTGTGACAAAATCTGTCACGTGCTTTCTCCTTCAGTCTTCATAAATATTCCAACAGTTTAGTCAGATTTAATTTGCAATGAGAGCACTGAATAAAGTTTTGTCAAGTTGTTATATCCTTACACTTTTGTTTGCAAGATATAAACAAAGTGTATATTTCTTAAGCTTCATTAATTTTTTGAAACCTGTAAATCAGATGTGTTTTACCTTACTGATTGAAAGTGCCTTTGCAGTACTGCTGGGGCAGGGGGACTGATCTTTGCTTATTGCTGTGGAGTGACTGATATTGAGAAGAGTTTATATGGCTGTCTATACTATCAAAACTGGATGTCATAGAACTTCCCATAGTTCTCAGACCCACTGAGAGAGGTTCAGTTTTCCAAGAAGATGACTTTAATTAGTAAAATTGTTTGAAATACAACCAAGATAGCACCATTCTAAGATATTCTTCAAGCAATTTGCCTTGGCAGTCACTGTTAATGTACAACTACCTGAAAAATAAGTTTTCTAGTCAAAAGTTGTACCTGTAAATAGCATGCTTATAACTCTCTCCTTCGTACATATATACCAGTTTAAATATTTAGTGAAGAAGTGCTCCTTTAGATGATTTCATTAATCTTAACTATATTAGTCTGCTGTATTTGTTAGGGGTTTGGTCTCATTTTTGACAACAAAGTTTGTTTGCTCTGTTTTCTGGCTGGGAAACAAGGCCCAGCAGTCTTCCTGCTATCACAGCTTCAAATTATGAGCTGAAGAAAACACAGGAGCAGATCTCAAGCTTACTCCTTAGCAAAATTTAAAAAAAAAAAAAAGTCTTCAAGCATGGATCCAACTGCACAACCTTTGAAGCTTGCCAAGGAAAAGGAAAATAAATCTGTTTTGCACCTGATGTTTAATCTAATGATAGCTACAATTCACTTTGCATTCATATTTGCATCTGCTGCTATTAAGTGCTTTGAGGTCTTCAGGCTTAGAAAAGAAAACTAGAGACTAATTTTGAAGATATTTTGAATAAGCACTTAGCAAAAAAATATCATTAGGACTGTGATGCAAAAATGACAAGTTGCATGAGTTAACTTCTATTATTCCCTGATTTGCTTCTATTGTGAACAGAGACCACTTACAGTTTCCTACCGTGGCTGTACTGAGAGCAGCAGTAGCTACAGCTGACCGTTCCAGCTAGAACAGCGTGTCTTGGTACCTTTATCTCAACAATTAGCTGCCCAAGGACAGCTGTCAGGAGTAGCCTTTCCTTTTTCCCAGCAGCCAGCAGTTCCCTTAAGCCATGGTAACTAGATGTGTTTTTCCTAATCTACTTCCGATAACAAGAGCTCTTAGTCCTGGGCTCTGTGCAGCCACCTGGCTGAGCATAACCTTGCTCACAGCCCTAGGCTTCAAGCAGCTATGTAATTGTAGCTTTAATTTAGCCAGCAATCATTGGAATTTTCTTCACAAGGTTAAATTGTTCAGCATAGACATGTCCTTACATCTTCCAACCATGGGTCAATACATCATAGTCCTAGGGAAGCTGCAGAAATTGTGTGCATTAGTACTGATAAAACTTCAACAGTGGAAATTAACCTTCTGCTCTGTTAGTCAGCAGTTTTTCAAGGCAGTACCAGTGGCACTTCTATTGACGTTGCTTTATTACTCCTCACAACTGGGAAGTAGAAGCTGTTACCAGCTTTTATCTTGTTTGATTCGGCAGAGGACCACATCACTTTCTTGAAAGTAAGACTTCTCCAAGATATGACTTCACACTTCTTTCCTTTTCATTTCCGTTATTCCAGATTTAATGTTACTAAATTCTTCCTATGTAGCATTCTAGGTCCTATTTTTCATACTGCTGCAAACTTTGTACCAGTTACAAATACTTTTAGTGTGTGTGTGTGGCACATTAATGACAATATTAAATAGGGTGTCTTTCCAAAACATCATTAGTGATTCTTTTTCAACCAAATCTATTTCTCTTTTCCGTTCAATTAGTTCCTCACCCTCCTGTAATGATTCCTGTAATAATCCTTGTTCTGGTCTTAATATTGTTTTAATATTGTTTTTACATGCTACAGTAAGAGCTGCTTTGCTATAAAGCCTTCCATTTAAGCCTTTACATTTTAGTCCTTGCTGGACAGACACAGTAATCCTGTGGAGCCAAGTGCCTACCCTCAAGGAACAGATAGGACAGAGCCAGCCCAGCCTCCTTATGGGTTCTTCACCTGTGTGACACCATATGCTTTTCTGCCTTGTGGGGGCAATTATTAAACACACAAACTGTACTGGTCATATGAATGAATATTGATTTGGCTTTTTTTTTGTTTGTTTCTTTATATAACAATTCCTACTTACTAATTGCCTAAAAACGGCACCTGAATGCCAGCTTAATATCAAGAAATGTCAGTTTCATATGCTGACCTTTCTGAAATCTTGCCATGCTTATTAAAAGAGGCGTGCATTAGCAACTTCATTTTCTTAAAATAGCATCTAAAGGAAAAATGCAGCATCTATAAGAGGTTACAAACCCAATTAGACCAATAGGATACTTAAAAAAGTGATTCTAGTTATGGCTCAAAGCTATTTAAGGGCAGCATGACCTGAGTTATCCCACTGCTCTGATGAGGGAAAAGACGCTTTGAGTGAGTGTGCCCTTTTTTAGTCATCATAATGACAAAAGCAGTGTCCTTTATTTCTGAATGACCATCCTTAGTGACAAAATGAAGAGTTCTTCCTCTCAGCTTCTGTCCCCACATTTCCTTTGATGGACCACTGCTGTTGATCAGCAGCATGGCTATTCCCATGTGGCCATTTGTCAATTACACGTGAAATTTCTCCACAGCTCAAGCTGTTTCCATCAAAGGCCTTTGGCCCACCACCAGGAAAAGCAGATTTGCCCACATACAGGAGCTGCTAGGGGAACACCCAGTGTGCAGACTGCAACAGCCTACCTTTAGACATTTCAGTTCACACTAGATCTTTGCAATAACATTTAAACTTAAAAACAGTAGCAAGAGGCTTAAACTACACAGCCTAATATAAGTGCATTACCCAAGAATCTGATTTTTAAGTGAAAAGAGGTGAAGCTGCACTGACTTTCTTTAGTAGGTTTTTTTCATGCCTGCTCTTGTTAGAATTTTAGGTTATAGAAATACTGGAAAAGAAGAAAAATAAGACCAGTCAATCTGGTTCAATCAAAGTTCATTGGAAAGGCTCATTCATCTAAGAGGAAGATTCTCTTAAGAAGTCAAATAAGTGTTTTTGTTTGGTCTTTGATGCTCCATCAGAACGCTCTCAACTATAAAAGAGAGTAAAGGGGAGGCTTTTCAAAGAAGTGATTCAGAACAGGAAAAAGCATCCTTTTTCTTCTACATTTCAACTTCAAGTAGTTGGTCCACAACCTGTGAATATTCTTACCATAGTCATGTACTTCCAAAGATACATCATGTAATTTCATTGCAGTCAAAACAACATTCCTTTACCCAGCTGCCATTACCATGAACTTTCTCTACTTTTTTTTTTTTTTGCTGGTCACAGCACATCATTAATTATCTTTCTTTACATGAAACACATCACAGGAGTAGTGCTGTGCTCTGTACCTCAATCCCCTCACCAAGATTTTCTAAGTTTTTAAACTAGAAACTACACACTTAAACATTTTTTGCTATTCAAAATAAGAATAACCCTGCCAATAGGCATTAAACTATGAAACTGAAGCTAGCTCACTTCTGAACTGCTCTCAAACATACTGTTCTACTATAGATTCTTTCCCAGACTTTTTCCTCAATGATACTCCAAGTTTATAGCCATACAACAATACAGCAAATTGTCTCTAGGTCACCACCAGGCTTTCCTTTGTGTCTATTACAATAAGCAGAGGAACAATCATTTCCAGGTAGAACACACAGAAGATAGGCTTAATCCAAAAATGTACATCTTCAGTAATAAGCAGCCGAAGAGCTGAAACAAAAATTAGAGAGGAGGACACTTACAGTCATCCTTTGTCATCCTCTCATCATCAAACAATAGGCTGGAAAATACAAGCATCCACACTGTGTGCCTTGTGAAACCAGAGCCTCCCTCAATGCGTAACATATGAAAGCACAGTGTAGAAACCTACTAGAATGGAAAGGTCAGGCACTCAAAAGTCAGGAAATGCCACAGTGAAGATGTCCACAGCTTTAGGCTCACCTTTGGGTATACGTGGAACACCACAGTATTTTTAGTTACTTTCAGACAAGCTTCTTATTCCACACAAACTGCTCTATCTGCTCTGTTATGATTCAAAACCTTTGCTGTTGAAAGTGCAGCAAGCACACAGTGCTTTTTCTCCCATCACTGTTCAACACATAGCTCTGTTCCCTTCACATGCTGCATGTTGTTCATACCCAGCTCTGAGAACAAAACTGTTAACTCCCACAATGACGTGACATCAGTACTTTCTACTGCAGTCACAGTTTCACAATGACTCACGCACCTTTCCAACTCCCTGTAGGTTTCCTTACTGCCATTTTACAAATATACAGTGAGCCTAAGTTAAATGTTTTCTTTGAAATTTGGAAACTCTGAGATGTCACACTGTATAGCACTGGTTACCTTGAAGTACAGCTTTTACGTGTCTTCAGAAGTAGTTACGAATGCTTAGCACTATCCAACTCACACCCCAGCTTTCTACAAAGTGAGGTATGTGCAACTCAAGTTTCCCAGCAGGAGCACAGCAAAAACGGATGACTCTAGGGCATCAGATCCCATGATAATGGTTCAGCTGTGTTTCTCCACATGCACTTAATTGTCCTCAGTTTTATGTCTGAATTTTAACTAATGCTGCAAAGACAAGCTATCTTGTTCAGGGAAACACCCAAATTCACCAAAATAGGTTTGTCTTCTCTCTGCAATGAGACTAAGCTCTACAGAGAAGATGGATAATCATCTTGTGTGGACAGCACAAGATGAAGAAAGGGAAGAAAAGCCACACTGCCAATGGACTTTGTAACAGCAAAGAACAGTGACATTCAGGCACCTGGGGCTCTGCTCCACTTGTCAAACTCCATATCTGAAATCTGCCTTCTTATCGCCTCCTCCTAGGAGTTCAGGGTCTCCTTTTCTATCTGTGAATCCTTCACTCAGCGCTCAGGCTCCAGACAAGACTGTGACTCCAAGGGGAGGGAATGTCCTGGTTAAAGAGATGCCAACTGCTGCTCCAAGTGGAAGCTGGAGGATTACTATGATGGAAAAATATATAAGTAAATAGCAAAGAACTTTTTAGTACTGTGGTTCTCCAAGAAGCACTGTTCTGTACACCACCAGTCTTCCTCCTGCTAAAGATCCTGTACTGCTCATTAATTGAGAGAGGGAGGCACTCAAAGGGGCACAGATACAGATGCTAGAGGGGTCATTGGGTGACCCATTGCTGTAGGCTTCTTTCAACCAAGTGAGATGCTTGTCTAAACAGGGCAGTAACCAAGGCCAAGCAACTTTCATCTTGAAATGATCTGACGTTTCATTAGATTTCACCACTTAAAACTAGTTACTGAGTAGGACAGGTTCAAACTATGTAATCCAAAATAGTCTCCAAATTTAAGAGAACTGCCCTTCATTTTCAAGTAGCATCAAGATTTTGCTAAGGATTTTTTATGTTATGAATGAATATGCATGCATGTGTAATGCTGATAGCAATAGGCAGCATTAATTCAAATATATGCAAGTTTTCCTGAGACACATTCTATTTCTAAAGGCAAAAACAAGTTTTTAGTTGCTGAAAAGTCAGTTGAGTAGCAAAAATTGGTATTTTAGCTGAGGGAAAATAGTAACCTATTGTAAGATGTCAAAATCTGCAAGAAAAATAAAAATCACTTGGAAATTAACCAGAGGGTTCTGACAGCTGGAAACAGAAAAATTGTTTAATATTGTTTTGTTCAGTATCCGTGCTGTAATATATCAAACAGTATTTTTGTTTTCAGGGCTGTTAATTCCTGTGTTGGAAGACAAGGTGATTTAATCAACTACATATCTTCTTTTTTTTTCCAGAATGACAAAGTTCATTAATCTCATTTATCCTTTAACTTAGCATAGGAGGAATGGATTTTCTCAGGGGATTAGGTATAAACTGTAAAAACTATTCACTGAGCGTCACATCTCACAGATCACAGAGAAGATGGGTAAAGCCAGATTTTTTTAAAACTATTTCTCACCTCCCTCCCATGAAGAATCTCAAAGCTCTAATTCATTTAAGCATGTGGTTCCCTACTGATATTTGAAATCAGTTTGAAACAGTAGCAATCAAATCTAATTACTGATCACACACTTATTGGTTTCAAGTTTTCAGTCCAAAAAGAAAGAATCCATTCACAACAACAACAAAAAGCCAACAACATTTACTAAGGTCTAATTTAATCTGGATACAACAACTTGAGTTTGGATTCCTTAGCTACTGTAGCCTCCCACCTTGAGACACCAGAGAGCTGCTCTTCATGCATTCTGAATACCCACACACTGCTACTTGCAGGTTGCTTCATTCCACCTTTTCCTTCTTTTCCACCAGACTTACACCTAGGTACCACCACAAGTGGTATTTAAAAACTCAGCTAGAATTTCAAACAAACTTGAACAAAATAAATTTGGGTTCGGTCCCAACTTACATTTACAAAAACTTCTGTAATTCCTAGCCAAAGCAGCAGAAAAAGCAACGGCTTTTTTTCCCCCCCCCCTCACAAAGTACCACACATACTGCAGTGGCTGGTCTCATACCAAAAGTTCCTACAGCTTTAGCAATCAGCTCAAAACACACTGATCGCACTCATAAACACAGATGCTTAGGTCATCAAGTTAATGTAAGTCACATTTACAGTTGTCAGTTAATGTAAGTCACATCTCCTGCCATTCTCACAGGTAATTTTCTCTGGCTGCATTCCCTCTCTTGGGTCCTGAACACTCCATTTTAGGCTCTTTTCTGGCTGCTCTTTCCAGCAGCATGTAGAAAAAATTATCACTCTGTTACAGCACAGGGAATAAAAGACCAGCTCAGAGCCTAGCAGCCACAACTAAAAATCAACCTTTTTTTTTCCCTTTTCCTTTAAAACACTGTCAGTCACACAGTTGTTGATGACTTATTTTTTTTTCCCCCCTTCTGGCTTTGCATTGAACTCCTGTTTCTCACTGATGCCAAAAGGTCTTCAGAAAAATTTTTACTATTCTCCAAAGACACTTCCAAGTACTGTTTTAGAAACAAGGAGAGCTTTAAAACAGTTGAAATCAGCAGTACATTAAAACATCATTCCTAAATACAACTGAATTGCTATGATGTTCACAAAACAAATCCTACTCTTCTGTCAAACAGATGTCACTTTATCCAACTACAAAACACTAAAAGAACACTGATTTACTTTTTATCATTGGGGGATACTAAACAATTTTTCATTACTCTCTTGAGAAGTTAAGAGGTCCTTATGTCACAAACAAGACTCAGGAGGGCTACTGAGGCCCAGCCAGCAATCTGTGCCATCAAAACATCAGAATCACAAAATCATAAGTCTTGGAGAAGTCCACTAAGTCATCTACTCCACCCATCAGCCCACTCCCACCATGCCCACACCCCCAGGATCAGTGACTCCACACCCCCAGGGCAGCCTGTTCCAATACCTCACCACTCTTTCAGAAAATAAACATTTCCTGTTATCCAACCTGAACCTCCCCTGGTGCTACTTGAGACCATTACCTCTTACCTTTTGTGGTAGAGAACACCGGTGCAGTGCCAAGCCTCCAATGACTCCATTTGTGTCCATCTATAGATCTGTAAGGAGTAAAATCTGTACACAGATAATAGGAAGACAGTTGGGTGACAAAGGGTAAAACAACATCTATCTATTGTATAATCAGCAAGTATACAGATGTGTAATTGACAAATACGGAGAGAAGTGAAGCTGGTCTTTAGAGAACGTATAACTAGAATGATTATCACATTAGAAAAGGATAATCAGAAACAAACAGAAAAGCTTACCTGTATCTCAGGCTCATAGAGGAAAAACTCCAAGGGGAACAATCTCTAGAGATCCTTCCTCACTGGCAGTCAGCCCTTAAATGGGGCATAGGAGAGGTGCAGCCAGGCTCCACCCGTGCTGGTCACACAGCTGAATTGCCTTCACCTGTGCTTCCACAGCTGACTCAGTGCTTGCTTCAGGTGATCAATCAGAGGTTCAGGCCCTGATTCAATAGTTCCCATACATCTATCATTATTTAAAATGCTATTCAATTAAATAATCTCACTGTTCTTACTTTTGATATTAATAGCAATTAACATTTTTTCACATAAAGTTTGTGAATAATGGTTCTGTGTCAAGGTGGAGTCTGGTTACAAGTGTTCCTCAGGAGCTGGTCTTGGGACCAGAGCTCTTCAACATCTTCATCAGTGACAGAGACGATGGCATCGAGTGCATCCTCAGCAAGTGTGCTGATGACACCAAGCTGAGCGGTGCAGTCAATACATTGGAAGGAAGGAAAGCCACCCAGAGGGATCTGGATGGATGCCCCATCCCTAGAGAGCTTCAAGGCCAGGCTGGATATGGCTCTAGGCAGCCTGGTCTGGTGCTTGGTGACCCTGCACATAGCAGGGGAGTTGAAACTAGGTGATCACTGTGGTCCTTTTCAACCCAGGCCATTCCATGATTCTATGATTCTTTGATTCTATGATTTACTTACGTCCTCAAGAGGCAGAAATAATAAAATAATCTAAATTCCATCTTGTCTGGGCAGGGATATAGCACAAACCTCTCCACCTCTTTCCTTCCTCATTCTCCCCCAGCCCCATCAATACATCTTAGCATCTTAGCATTGTGTCAAGATATCCAGGTTACTGAATCTTAGATAAACTGCCTGACAGATATTGTTCCCAGTGGATTTGGGGCCCATTAATAGGACAAATGATCTGCAATTAACCTGCTCAAAAGTCTTGATTGCAGATGGTGAAGGGGCAGTGAGGGGAAGAAAGAAAATATTTAAGGTAATTCTGAAGTGTTTTTTTTTTTTGTAAAAAGGGTATATTTTTCTATGGAGGTAGCATGTCTTTAGCATAGCTGGTACTGACCTTTTGTCCACACTGAATTCTTGGATAAAGTGACAAATAGTTCCATGAGCCTGAAATGAAACAGTTCTACCATGCACAAATGCACATACACAACTTCTGTGATCCTGCAGGTGTACCTATGCTTATGTGCACATCATTCATGTTTCTAAACAAAAGAAACCAAACCTGCGTGATGCCAGTACCTGAATACATTGTGAAACTCAGATGTTACCTCTGTGTTTTATCTTCTCCATAGTTAATCTTTTACTCTCATGCATTATTTTAATGTTACAACTTTTTACTCACATCACTTAATTGCTCATAAGCATGTAACTATTATGAGTATTTTCTCTTTGTGTTGTTTTTTTTTTTTTTAATGCCTCAATTATTCTCTGGCAATGTTCTACTTTAATGGATTAATGTATTTACCTACCATTTTATCACTACCCTCTTTTTTCAGTTCATGTAATTTGGCAACTTTTCTCCTCACATCTGTAAAAATTCTATCATTAAGTCATTTTTCAGCTTTTTAATTTGTTCCTGCTACTATTTCATTCTAAACAGTATTAAATTAACAAAATAAATCCTATACTCATCCTCTTGTCTCTTCCATGCCAAAATGTTCCTGCTTACCAATGTCTTTTGTAGCAGAGCTGTTTGCTTTCAACTAAAATATTGAATGGCCCAGTGAAAGAGAGGCAGAGCAAGAGAGAGAACAACCTTATTGTCCAGTGGTTGGATCATGTCTTTGAATCAACCAGAGCAAAATGGGAGCCTTTAAAATCTCCTGCCAGGCAGGTGTCCTGGCTACCAGGCAGTCAGCCATACTGGGATCATCCTCAGAAAAAGGCACTCCTCAGTGGAAGCTGGGTTTAAGGCACATATGTTTCTCATGAAAAGCCTTAGTCAGACAGCACAGCAAAAGTGTTTCCTTGAAAACCTCCTGTTCAGCTGTGGTTACCATGGATAAGGAAGTAAATCTTTCATTTATATATAAAATCATACAGATTGTCCAGCTCTCCTTTCACTTTACGTAGCACATTTTTAACACCTGTGCTGCTATCATAAAGACTCAGCTCCAGCTATTAAAGACATGCTAAACTTTAATGTTATTCACTATGCTGAAATTTTCTGATCTCTAATTGCTAATGTCATTCTTCCACAGTCTCACATTCACCTCCAGACACATCAGCAATGGATAGCTGATTCTCTAACCCTTAGCTACCATTCAGTACCTTTACTAGTTTAGAATTCCTTACCAAAAAGATTTGGAAATGTCCTTACAAAAATAGCTTACTGGTGCCTTCTTCTACGTCGGGTCCTGAAGTTTTGTTAGAGCTCCACAATATCCCTTGCTTCAAGAATGGAGCTGCATTTTTTCCAGTCTTTCTAGCAATTTTCTCAAGTGAAGCACACCCTTCAGGATTTCTTTTTCCACAGTTCAGAAAGCATGAAAACAGCAGAATAAAACCCGCTTCATATGGTTGCCAGACCAAAGCATGGATGCTTATTTTATGACACAGACTGTTAAAAACTTTGGCACTAAGAAATGTCTTGAGAAAAAGATTGTGAACTAGCAAGTAACCTGCATGTGTCATAACACATTACTTCCACTGTAATACTGTTATTCATCTGACTTACATGCAGACTCAAATCTTAGCGTTTTCACTCATGTCAGTTACTAAACTCATTCTGCCTAATCCTGCTGACTTCAATCTCTGCTCCTGAAACCTTAAAGAAGGTCTGTGTGTCTTCCTTATTTGCATCCTGCCCCATAAAGCCATAAAACACAACCAGGCTGGGAGCTCTTCAGGCTCGTTGCTCCTGAGAACTGCTACCTGAGTTATTTCCAAATGCCCCATTCACCCACCAATTGACTGTTCACTCTTTCCTTGAAGCATTACTCTTCTCTTTTCCAACCTTGTTTACTCAAGGATTTCTTTCTGGCTTTGACGAGTGTCCTTTCTCTCTTGATTCTTCACACTGTTTCACATGGATTTGAACAAATGTTATCTTTTTGCTAATCCCCTGCTCAAAGCGATGATGAGAATTTTGATTTCCTTTTAAAATCCTCAGAGTATCTGATCATAAATTTTCAGGAGCTATGCAAATCGCTTGTTGCAGAGCTGCAGCGTCTTCCAATAACACCACTGCTGTTTTGTGTTTTGAGGAACAACTTGTTCTCTCAGCATGTCTGCCATTTGCTCCTTTCTTACCTTCAGTTGTTTTGCAGTTCTCTGCTAATTCAGATGACCTTTCTCCTTGTTTCTACTACTAGCTTTTAAAGCCAGATGGTTTGCAAGACCCATGAGAATATACTAATTTATGTTTCTGCATTTCCATGTCTCATCTTGCTCCCCACCTCCACCCCTCCCCTTTTCTTTTTTTTTTTTCCTCTTTCTATACTTTCAGTGCTCAGATTTCTTTCAGAATTGTTGGAATTGATTTTCTGAGTTAATGAACACTTGGCTGAAAAGGACCTGTTGTGTTCAAGAAACCACTCCTCTCCAAGATGAAAGCAACCATCCAAGAGACCTCCACCACAGAAATGCTTTGAAATCCTTTTGCAAATCTTGTGCCAGCAAACAGCAACCAGTGTCCATATATTTCTTTGACATTTTTGTTTCTGAATCAAATGTTGTTTACATACATGTAAACTGCTATTTATAGCCGGTTTGCCAGCCTTAACCACCCAGGAAGAGAGAAAACTTTGCACTAGGCTTAGAAACCAGGACTCTTCTCCATCTCATGCTTATGAGTGAGTTTTTCCCAGGGCAAAATTGAGGATTACAGAAGTCTGCAACTGTCCATCAGAGCACCAGGAGACATAAGCATCCTGTATGGCCCCTGCAGATCTCCCCACAGCCCCCTGCCTGAAGCCAAGGGCAAAGCTCCCACTTGGCCACCAGACCTGGCCTGACCACCTCACAGCACATCCCAGAGGTCCCAGTGCAGTGATTGGATGCCTGAGCCAAGCCAGAAGCCACTTTTGTGGCTTTTGTGGCTGCAGGAAGCCCTCCAGCCATCCCGTAGTGTTTCAGGGTTACTTTGTTTTGAGGGGTTCCATTATTTAATTTTCTGATCTATGGCAAAGTCACTTCATGTATTACAAATTTAACTCTTTTCAAATATTTTGAATGTGAGCCTGCCATGACTATGACTGAAGTCAAGGAGGAGGAAGTTTTTCAGGGAGTATAATTAGAGCCACTTACCTCAAAGATGAACATCAGGAGAATCTGAATTCCAGCTGCAATAGAAGAATTTGAATTGGAGTTGTGCAGCCTGGAGAGGAGAAGGCTCTGGAGAGACCTGAAAGCAGCCTTCCAGTATCTAAAGAGGAGCCATTAGAAAGAAGGGGACAGACTTTTTAGCAGTCTGTTGTGATAGGACAAGGAGAAATGTTTTCAAACTAAAAGAGGGGAGATTCAGTTTGGATATAAGGAAGAAGTTATTTACTAATAAGGGCAGTGAAACACTGGCACAGGTTGCCAAGAGAGGTGGTGGATGCTCCATCCCTGGAGACCTTCAAGGTCAGGGTGGACAGGGCTCTGAGCACCTGATGAAACTGTAGATGTCCTTAAGACAGGGAAATTGGCTAGCTGACCTTTAAGAGTCCCTTCTAACTCAAACAATTCTATGACTCTATGAATTAAGTATATAGAGAGGGTGGCTGAAAGGCCTGGGACCTTGCCATCATTCACAGCATCATGAAGATGGTTGTCCTGGTCAGACACACAGCTTCTCCTCCCAGATGGCACAAGCCCTGTGCTATTTCAGCTTGGTGACTGCAACTGCTACATTAAAGCCTTGGTATATGAGAATCTGCAAGTGAAGAGGCAGCCAGTGGGTTTGTGTTGAGCCTTATTTACCTGGCCTTCAGGCTGCAGGGTCCCGCTCCTGCAGAGCGAGGTGGGAACAGGAGGTAGAGGATGCGCAGGTCTCCCAGGTGGCCATGGGTGTGACCAGCTGAAGGTTA